TGTGTGTGTGTGTGTGTCCTTGGTTAAGTTAAAAAGCCGTGTTGTACCTGGCAGTCGACGCTGAGCATGTGCAGAGCGGTGGTGTTGGCATCGGAGCGGTTGAAGAGCTCTTTGATCGTCAGCAGGATGCTGGGCTCCAGGGGTCGGTTGTTCTCTGGTAAAAGCAGCGACTCAAACTTATCCAACTGGAAACTTGACTCCGACTCGATCTGTGACAGTGTTAGTGACATGACAACATTAGTACACAGCTGTCCCTAAACTGATTTCTCAACTTCTTTAAAACTGAGGGACACTTTACATGGTGACATTTATGTTTGTATTTTTGTGTAGGGGATTTCTTTTCCCTATGAGGATTAATAAATCCTAATAAATCTAATACAAACATGTGGTCGTTCAAAATGCCAGTCCTCCTCTCCCTCCGCTGCCTTCCTCGCCAGCTCTCTGTCAAACAGCGGCTGTGACGATGCCTCGTTCTTCTGGGCCTCCAGGAAGCCGAAGGAAGTTTCTGTGAGTCGTGCGCGGCTCTGCCACTTCTCCTCCGCACGTAATCTGTCCACGTGCCCTTTACATTGGGACTGTGGCACCTGGATACAACAACAAGGGTATAAACTCTCCGTGGAGGATTTACAGTCTACATCAGCTTCCCAAATAGAAACAGAGGCAAAATAAAAAAAAAGGGTGAACCACAGAGTTTTCTTGCCTGGATGACCAGCTCATTGTAGAAAGAGGAGGGGTCTTCGTCCGAGTCTAAGGGTGGAGGAGGCATAGCGTTGGCAAAAAAAGTAGAGACTCTGAGAGGTTTGGGAGGAGCTCTGGAGTGCAGCTGTCCATCTGAGCCCCGTAAAGTTACACCACCACCTACAGGCACAGAGAGGGGAATTATGGGAACTACAGTGGTGTAGCTTTACGTAGAATAAGCATCTTATTCTATGCATCTAACCTGGATGGGACGGACGTGTGTTTCGGGGTCGAGGGCTCAGCAGAGGTTCACTGCCTGTGCGAAACACAGGGGAGATGGGGGCGTGGTCGATGTCCTCTGACTGAGTGGTCTGTGGAATACCTGAAGAAGAGTAACAGCAGCGAAGTTACAAATAAAGAGTTGTAAAGCTCCCAGTCACTGTTGGCATTAATTAAATGCAGGAAATGTCGTCCTCAGCTCTCAGGCTTTGTCATTAATACTTATACATCTTAGCCTTACCAACTCTTTAACACATTAATAATCTATTGGCCATCTATATCATTACTGCTTTACTAAATAATGTACCAGTTCGTAGGTTGCTGTCAGACTGTGCCGACTGAAGAGAAGGCCTCCGTCCCACATGCTCCAAGTTAGCAGGTTGACTTCCAGTCCTGCCACACAAGATAAAGTTCATGAGCTCTTTTATGTGCATTTGTGTGAAGATGTGTGATTCATCATTATGCGTGTGTCGACACTGCTCTCCTCCCACCTTAACAGAGGATTAATGAACTGTATTGAGTCAGCATGCGTGGAGCTGAAACTGCGTCTTTTGTTGGGCTCATTGTTCTTTTCTCTCCCTGCACCTCTGCTGCTGTGGCCGCTGTTACTTTGGCCGTCCGCATTTTGCTCATTGATGACACGCAAAGGAAGCGTCCGTGTGATCGGGTGAAAGATCACCGCGCCTGAGGCCTGGGAGATGGGCCGACGGCCGCCCACATAGAACCGGATCAGAGCGGGAACATTGTCAAAGCGATCCTCCTCAAACTGGAACAGCTCCCGAGAGTAGCCCTGTCACACAGATGGAGGCAAACACACAAGCTGAATATCAAGCTGAGCCTTTAAGGGAAAATCTATATTTTCAGTGTCCTCTGCTCAGCCCTATGAGACTAGCAAGGTTGCTGTTCCAGGTTGTAGCTTAGAGCCACAGTAATTTAAGAAAAAGGAACAAAAAGTCCATAAATATTCCTCAAACCACTTTTCCAGTTTGATCCAATTCTCTACTGCTCTACATGCTCAGTATGTTCCAATCAATCATCAATTAATCACTAAATATTTCTTCCAAACTTTGAGAACTATAAGAGAGCCATGGTGCAACACAGAAATATTGTGTGAGTGTATTTTTGGAACATACTTAAAATATGGACCAGCGGCAGAGATGTGTATTACATTCCAGGAGAGATTCCAGGGGTTTGGTACTTCACATTAATAATTAACGACATTCTTCCCAACAAGGTCAGAAAACAGGAATAGAAACAGACCAGACTAAAACCTGGGTTACAAGTGCTGATGAACATTTTGTGCTGCAGACAAGTAAAAGAAAAGGTAATTACCCTGGAAGGAATCCTAATTGAAAAAGTAACTATGGGACACATACAAACTCACCTTTTTGGGGCGAAGAACCACTCGTATGATCTTAAAGTGCATCGGCTCGTTCTTCCAAAGGCAGCTCAAAACATAGTCGCCTGGGGAAGAGCTTGAGTCCCGAACCAGGAAATCTCCGTCCCTCCCAAACAGAGACTCTGCAGCCTGGAAACGAGAGAGCAGGATATCATGGTTAGCTGTGTTGACATCGTACTGTACTCAATAACTTAGGCCCAGCGTAAGTTGGCCACAAAGCACAATACATTTGCGGATCTACAATTATTTGCCTTCTTGTTCAGAGTTAGATGCTGCATGTCTGTATCCGTATGATAAATATACTTTGTTTGCAAGTTTATAAAGGTAGAACTAACTGAAACTAATACAGTATAATGCAGTAAATGCTCCAGTCTTATGCTAAGAGAAGTTAAGTGGGCACTGTTTCCAGATTCATTTTGTGTATAAAATGTTGTAATGAAGTGTAAATGCAGTGAGAATAGTATATAGTCCATTGAGAACCTCTCGGGTCAGTGGTCCGTGGAACCATGCATGACTCCTCGGGTCCTCAGTGCTGAGCTTCAACTCCTCCTCCAGCTCCTTCTTCAACGAGTCCATCTCTCTCCGACCACCAAAAACCTGCAAAACACACACACACAGCCAAGCAGAGACCATTGTTACACTGCAGGTTTTCTGCGCTAGCATTTTGTACTAGCTTGGGGATAAAGGGTATAAAATCTGCAGGAGAAAAGTAGCTCCAAAGAGCAGGTGAGAGTCGGACAGGTCGTTTGTTTAACCTCTCACCTTCAGCTGGCTGAGGTATGCACTGACACTCCTCCTCTTGCTGCAAAACAAGAGAGAAGAGAGAGAACTAAATTAAACCCAGGGGAGCTGCAGATGATGGTGTCATGTTTTTCCTCTGTACGTGAACGGTACAAGGACAGAAGACCACTGCCAAGGTCTGCGTCTGTCATTAACACCACACGAACTGAGGGACTTTTAATAGCCTGCCTCTTTTTCCTTCTTCCTTCCTCCCTGAGCCTCCACCTTCCTGCCTCTGTAAACACAAGCTCAAAGAGCTCAGCAGCAGAGCTGGACTCAGTAACTCCCACAGAGATGTGAAGGTTGCTCATTTGCCTTGACCCTCAATATTACAGTTGACATCCATGGAAACAAAATACTTTTATATAAGTTCATTAGGTACTAATTGGACTTATTCACTCCAGTAGGTCAATACTTCAATAGGTCGTCCTCTCATTAAGGTTAGAATATTCAGGTTGGATTAAAACTGTTTTAGAAAGGAGGTAAATCCATGTTATGGTTGTTTTGGAGGCTGCAGGTTGTGGTGCTGTTAGATTAAACTCCTTCTCTACTAGATCAAATTCAGTTTTACCATCATAAACATCTAAATGCTGTTTCACCTCTCTATTTATACTTCAAAAATACTGAATCTGTATGGAACTGATCTAATATATGCAAACCACATGTATGGTTTTAACTGTAGAGTGTAAAGTCCCACATGGTTGTTAAAACTTTGAAACTCCTAAAAAAACCAACAAGGACGTGACCGTAGTGTGCTCATTAGTACGGAAGCTACAGACGTGCTCACTGACCCAGCTCAGGACCCGGACGGACAGGGTCCACTTTACCCCCTTTCATTATTGGCTTTCAAAACAAACATTACATGAGTCTTACTTTTCTTAAAAAAGGTTCTCTGGGTTCTCCTATGAATATTTTTGGGTCTATAAACATGTCACCTGTGAAAAATGCCCACTGCGGGTCAACATTTGCTGTTTACCCCTGAAACCCCTGAAGGGTTTCGTGGACTCAAACACTTCACCCACTCCTCCATCTAATACTGGTGAGTGGATAATGAGAGGATTTTCGTTTTTAAAGGTCCAGTGTGTAGAATTTAATGATGTCTCGTGTTGAAGTTGCATGTTGCAGCTGAACACCCCTCACCTCAGCCTCTCCTTCCAAACATGAAGAAGAAACTGTGGTGAACTTTACTTGTCATAAAAACTCAAAGGTTGTTTAGTTTGTCCAGTCTGGACTCATGTCAAAAAACATGGCGGCCTCCGTAGAGAGGGTCCAATCGATGTAAACATAAAGTATTCAAATATAGAGAGCCGTAAAGAAAAAACTACAATTCATACATATTAGATGAAACGAACTAGTGAAAACATCATGAGCATTATTCCACATTAAATTTCCCCTTTCACCTCAATCTCACACACTGGACCTTTAAGTTGGTTTTCAACAAGGTGTACCTAATAAAATGGAGATGCTGGCAGCTGTCAGTGACTCAGGGGGCTCAGCAGGACTGACACAGACTGATCCCAGGTCAGATTAGCTTCGCGCTAAAGAGGAGCTACATCCTGTGTGAGGGGCGTTGGCCCGAACAGCTCAACCCCCGAGAATTCACCTGCAGAGAGGCTCTGTTGTGAAATATCACCTGGAACCACATGGAACTGCTTCGACAAGCTAGTTTAACTCCTAGCTTCACTCTGCAGACTCAAGCTAATGTCCTGACACGTGGCTCGGGACTCCGCGAAGTTAGCAAGAAGTGACACTGGAGGAAAAGAGTCCAAGAACACTTCTCTTTCTTTTGAAAAGTGTCGCAACAAGATCTCGCGTTGGTTTGCGAGGCTGCCTCTTGCGTTAACCCGGCTCGGTCCTACCTGTGTGTCCGCCTCAGCGCCCCGCAGCGTCCGACATGTTTCACGGTTTGTGGTCCAAACTAAAACATCAACAACAACCGGGAGGAACCGACCGAACTTCTCCTCTCCCGGTCCTCTCTCCTCCCTCTCAACCCTCCTCCTCCTCCCCGAACAGACAAGCTCCAACAAGCCCGTGTTCACCTCCTCCTCCTCCTCCGCCTCCTCCTGCTCCTGCTCCACCCGCCCCGGGCTCCGCAGCTGAAACAGCCCGCTATCTGCCTCACATTCCTCGGATACCGACACATCACCTGGCCGCGGGAGCAGCGGCTGCACGGAGGCATGTGATGGTAAATCACTCTCTTCAGCCTCCAGCTGTCTTTGTTATCCACACAGGTTCTCTACACTAGTGTGTTTATATTGTGTTCTTTATCAAGTGAGTGAAAAAATACCTACAAACTCCACAGTATGTTCAGATTACTAGTAAATGATCAAATTAATATCAGTAAATGTTTTGGTTCAAACAATGAATCACTCAGAAAGTGGTCTTATAACCTAAATAAAATATAATTGATAAAATATTTGTATCTGCAGCCAAAACTGAACTGGTTGTTCCCAGAATCATGTGGGTTCAAATGGGTCAATTCAAACTTATCTCCAATTGTCTGACAATTATTTTCTATTAAAAAAAATGTATTGATTTGTTTATATTGTATTATGTATCAAGTAAATGTAAAAAAAACAAAACAGAACAGCATGTCCAAAGCTCTTAGTGTCTGACCCACAGTCCACAACATAAATATGTTGATACTCTGAGAAGATAAGATAAAATAAGATAAGATGCTTTATTAGTCCCACAATGGGGGAAAATTTACAATATTACAACAGCAAGAGTGAAAAATAGGCATCAGTAAGTAATACGTGTATTTATAATAATACTTAAGTGTAAGGAATGTAAAAAAATGTGAATAGAATAAAGTCTAATGCGTATATTGCACAGACAGAATGAATATTTAAGAGAGTTCCTGCTGCAGGAAGTAACAACCTGCGATACCTCTCCTTCAGACAGAAGGTGAATCATTCTGTCACATCTGATTCAAGCAAATGATCTAATTCATAACTCATAAAAGACAGGAAACCAAAAAAGGAAGTGGTTTTACAACCTAAATAAGTTATTTGTCATAAAATATAGTTGAAAAAAGATTCCAGGATCCACACCGTGATCTGTACCTGCACCAAAACTGAACAGGTTCTTCCCAAGCCCAGGAACCATCCCTCCACCACGTCCCGGTAGAAATTAGGTTTAGTAGTTTTTGCACAAGCACACTGACAACCCAACCAAACAAATGCCCGGTCGGACAGTGTTAAAGAAAGTGGGGGGGGGGGAGTAATACCTGGGATCAACCTTTTGATTCAGATTCAGAGGCCCATACTGCATCTTTCCATCAGGTGTCATGGAAATCCATTCAGTTGCTTTTGTGTAATCTTGCTTACAACCAACAAACACACGGACAGGAGTGAAAACATAACCTCCCGATGGGTAATTATCAGAAGTATTGTCTGCCTTTCCTTATTTGATGTCATATTAAACTAATATCTGACAAAACAAGACATTTGAGGCCTTAAAAAAGTATGATGGATACTATTTTCACATTTTTTAACCCCATAAACATGAGGTAAGAAATTATTGTGAAAGAGGAAGTTGTCTTTATTTGTAATTCTCTGTTTACAGTATCTGGCCATGCAGGTGGGTCTGGTTTTATTTGCTGAGATTATGAAACAGTCACCTTTGAAACCTTTGCAGCCGCCTCAAAACAATAGAAGTGAGTGGACATTTGTTGTGTGCCTCCCACAACACTGAGAAGTTACAGCTGTGATACTCTTTATTTGGACTTTTTCCTCATGAGAAAGTAGATCCTGTAAAAAAACTGTTCACAATGATGTCTGCGGATCATTCAGAGGGGAAAGATGTTTTGTTGAAAGACAAGGTGCTGTAAGTTTTTACAGCACCTAAAACTGAATCCTCTCACTTTGTACTGATACGGAAAATCTTAGATGTGTGTATCTCTGACCAAAACTAAACCAACACAACAACCAAAGCCAAAACTATCGACTCCTCACTGAAGAGAAGGGTGGCCAAACTTTCCCAAGGTGTGTTGTTTATATTGTTAGTCATCAGAAAGCTGCTGTGTTCCTCATTGATGAAAGAACCCAGAAAGATCCTGACGTTTTTCTTACATTCGGTCTCAGCCTGTTCCTAAAGCTACTTCAGCTTTTAAACTCTGACACATTTTACAAGGCACTGGTTAATAATTAGACAAACAAGAGCGGAGAAATTGGATCTCTCTCTCTCACACACATACAACTGCTATCTAACACCTTCACAGACGCACACTCAACACACAGGGGGTCAGCTTACCTGTGTTTGCTGTCCTGACTCTCACTGATCTGAGTGTTGTCCTCGTTCAGCGGGCGGAGCTGCGAGCAGGAGGCGGACAGGCGGTGTTTTTTGTCAGCACGTTGGAGGCGGGGTAGAACACTCTGACGGAAAAGGTCCTTCCCAGGCTTCACCTGCAGGACACAGAAGTCAACAGTAAAGTGTGGCTCCCAGAGCTGAAGCTTGCGTTGTCTAAGAGACGAAGAGAAATTCTGCTCTGAGGTGATCAGGTGCCGCCTCTGTGGTCTCACCAGGTCCAAAGACGATCCCAGGGAGTACTTTCTGCTCACCCTGCGCTCGCGGACCTGCACAGCTGAGGGGACAGTAAAATAACAACATTATGGAAATATGACGTTTAACTCAAACTGAAATGAACAACATATGACATGTTTATCTGTGAGCTGTGCAGGTTCAGCTAGATATTAATTACTACATATAAAGATGGACGACATGATGGCGAAGACAAAACAGCTTCCTTAGCCCCTGGTGGCTGGCTACAGTATATATTAAAAACCTCATCCCCTCCATGTTGGTGGATGGGACAACTAAATAAAGTCAAAGTACACATCAAAATAAATAATCCCCGAAGCTGTCTCTGTAAGGACTGGCTTAAAATCATTAAACCAAAACAAGATGGCAGCCTCCGTATATTTTGGCTTCATCGTTGTTCAGTGGCAGGAAGTGAAGACTAGTCGTCCATTACACAGTTTTCAACAGAGACAGTTCAGTACAAGTTGAAATGTTAATGCATTATTAAAAGATGAGATATTATCTTAAAACTTCATTCACAGACATCACTACATAGAAATATATTTTATTTGAACTACTTGAATGAACTAAGTGAGCTGATAAAAACATCAAGTGAAGCCGACAACCATCCATGCATAAGACGCAGTCTGTAATGATTGGGTGATGTGATTAAAATCCATATCACAAAATAAAATATTTAAGTATTTCCTTTACAAATACCAGACTAATGTGCCGACCCACGTTAGTCTGTAGCATCCAGATGGAAAGATGACATTCAGTATATATAATTTGTTTTTCCAAAGGTAAGATCTCAAAATAATATATTATTTTTCTACCAACATATATGTTAAACAATACTCATCCCTGAATATAAATGAACATATTAACTTGCTTGTCCTCCAAGGAATAAAAGTGATCTGTGCCTCGTGCTCTCTGTGCAGTGTTGATTAATACCCACCCATAACATTTGCTGTGTGGTCATTTGAATACACATTAGCTTTAGAATAATGCAATGTAAAGTAAAATCAGAAAACGTAACGATTGAAAGGATGAAAACTATGGTCCCTCCTCCAGACAGCCCCCCGAAGATGGATCAAACAAAGCATGACCCGCTTCAGGCCTCCTTTCTGCTGAGATTGTGTTTTGCTTCTACATATTTCTGAGGAATTTTTCAATTGCATGAACGCAAACAAAAAGTGAGCCAGACGCTTTCATGGCCTCTGCAGCTCAGGGGCCCGGATGTTGGATTTGACTGCTTGGTTTATCCAGCCTTGCATGTGATACAGAATTATATGATCGAAGATTGATATGACAAACTATTCAGCAAATGCAGAAAATATAAAGTAGTCTCGTAGCCTTATAGTGTGCATGCTTGTGTGGCCGGTGTGTGTCACCAGAGCATGGGTCCAGTCTCTGTCTGTCTCTTGAAAGCTGATTCATGATGGTTTCTCGGTGTATTGCATCCTCGACCCCGGCTTCTCTCAGCTCCCCATCAGTTACATTCAACAAACCCTGCAGAGAAAACAGGGAGAGCGAATGATTAAGAGGCATTAAGGGTTGTGAGGATTGAAGCAAAGGACAAATGAAAGAGATATTGACACAAGCACAAGATGCATTTTAAACATTCGTAACGTACCTCAAGACCATAATATTCACTTTCTAGCGTCTTGGTGTACTGCGGCAGGCCAATCTGTCTCAGCCACCAGGCGATGGAGCGATTATTCATGTCTGAACAGCAAAGGGAGAAGCATCACAAATCACATACCAGCACACATGCAACTCTCACACACACACACATGCTTGTACATGTTTTTTGTGCACAAGTTTGTGAGAAAAGTACAACTGAAAGATTAGTCAGTTAACGTGAGCTTACATGAAGAAATCAGACTGTTTGCACTGCAGCAGCAACAGTATGTAACACCTACCTGTGTAAAGGCTCCACCGATGCACTCTGGGACTTTAACTTCTCTCTTTCTCTGTTGTAATATTTCTATCTTTTAACACGTCTCTGTTCTTCCTGTCTCTCTGTTTGCATTCTTGCTTTGCAGCTGCTCTCCTCTACCTTGCAGCCTCTGTCATTAACTCTGTCTCTTGGTGTTTGTGGCAGTGGAAGCCCGCTCCCCCTCAAACCTGCTGGGTCACTCACAAAGCCAATCAGATTGTGCAGTGGGCTCACGGTCCCCCGCAGGAGACGTCGAATCACAGCGCGGGAATTAGCATGAGCTCCAGGGAGGGGGGAGAGTGCAGGTTGTGGCATGACATGGGAGAGGGATGGAGCTCAGGAAAACAAGACTGTTGAAATGTAAGACTGTTAGGCAGCTGTCAACATGTCAAGTCAGAGATAGGCATGCAGGCACTGTGGTGAGTGTTTCAAACTGTCTGTCTGTACAGGTGGTATGTCAGGAAAACACTATCTGCAGGGATAATGGTGATGTGGGTTAGACTGACACCTGGTGTTTGAGTAGGAAGTGAAACAGGCCTGCCAATATTACATGGAAAACTCAGAACAGAACAAACACTCAGCATGTGTCTGAGTTTGCAGAACGTTTGCAATTACTTGGCTGGAAATGTGGAGCATTTGCTACAGTACTTCAATACATGGTTAATTAAAAACTGCTCCACCAATTGAAAACGTGCTCAAAGATTATATTCCACCAGCCCCTTGATACATTCTCACCCTGTTCACACTAATGGTGTCTGTGCCTCCACATGCAAACTGTCACTAAACAGTCACTAAAAGAGATTTTTTACAAATGCAAAGTGCAGATTTTCAAAAACTTTCTGTGGATCTTTGAGTAAATGTGAACAGAGCGTTTGGGAAACAGCGACGTCACAGCTTACTTCGTGCATGCCCTCTGTTGCTTTGTGTAATGAGGCTTAACAGCGATAATAATAATAATAATATACTTTATTTATATAGCACAGAGTTTACAGAGTGCATTGACAGCAAACCAAATTAAGAAAAAAATCAGCAGGATGCAATATCAGAATTGGGTTTTATTGCCAAGCAGGTTTACACATTCAAGGAAGTTGCTATGGTGTATTTGCAAGTATAAATATAAAGAAGGAAAAAATAAGAGGAGGGCCTGTGCTGTGTTGTGATATGACAAGAATGCCATGACGACCACATTTAAGTTGGAAACAGGGTAGTGTTCAAATGAAATTAATAAATATCGAGCTGTGTCACTCGAAAACACAAAGGCAGTAAGGTGACAAGAAAAAAAAAATGAACAGGTTAAATAAAAGATGAAAAAGATCACATGAAAGCAAGTCTATTAAAACAAAGTGATTTAAAAGAAGCCCCTGACTCTGCTCATCTTTTCTGGGTGAAAACAAAACCACACATTTCTCAGGACTAATCGCTCCTTATAATAATCACATCAGTCTCATATTTTTATGCTTAAAGCAAAACAATTACTTATATCCTCTAGTTGACACTTACGTTGGAAATATTGACTCCGGGTTTTGTGTTTGCGATTGATTGTAGATATTCTCAGCTGTCAATCTTAATGCGTCAGCCGGCCGTCCCTCTCCTGTTCAGGCTTCAGACGAATGAATATGAGCTGTTCAATACTCTAGAAATAGAAATACTAGAGACCGACTGATTGATCCTTTAATATTTGTTTTTACAGAATGAGCGATTAAGCAAAGATGTGCATTCGCCTTTACAGTTTACGTACTGAAATATGTTTTTCAAGCTCCACTGTTTATGGTTAAACTGTCAAATATCAAACTCTGATTACATTTCTTTGTCATAAACGTTTGATAACTTTGTACAATAGTCTCTTTTTTGAGCTTACAGCATTTTTAAAGCCATGAAAGTGGATAAAACATATTTGCAGTAAATATATATGCAGACTACTCACCTCAAATAAGATCTAAATATGGTTTAGGGCTGTTTTAGCAAAGTTGAACATTAATTTAATTATCTTGCATTCTGTACCATAGTCACACACATACACACTCACTGCTTTTCTGTCTTATCTGATGTATACATTTATACCATCTCACTTGCAGAGCACACTGGGTTTTTATCCATTTGTGCCACTCATGGCAACACCAACTTTGTGTGTGTGCATCTGTGTGTGAGCGTGAGGGTGCGTCAGAGGAAAAAGGAAGTTGCGGGCCAAAGTTAAAAGCCATCAACACAGTGCAGCTCTGCAGAACACCCACCACGGAAGAAAGAAGGCAGAGTGAGAGCGCCCAAGTCTGAAAATGAGACGATGAAAGGAAGACGGGAAGGTCGAGAACGAAGACATAGAAAATACTGAAGGTAAGAGGCTTACTGTAATATAATCCTACATTGATTTATAATCAGAAAGGTTTAGTTGTACAGCACAGCAGTGGCTTTTTATTTCCTATTTTACCGGGTTACAGGAAGGCTTTACTGAAAGAACAGAGAGTTTGAGTGTGTAGGCCAAATGATTTTATGATGGTTTGATCTTTACTATGTGGAGATTTTAGTTTACTAAGAAAAAGAGGAGGCGTTACACTGACACCGAGTTTCTTCGCATGTGTAAAGTGTGAAACGTTTTCATACATCCTGTTCCTTAGTTATTAGTTCTGTTCAATGTAAAGCCTTAAAAAGGCTCTTGGCTTAAAGCTAAATGGGGCAATGTTGCGTTGTTGAGAGCCAAAGTGCTCAGTGGTTCCTGGATACTGTGTTTGTGAGGACTTTACTTCACAGTCTCTTGCCTCCTGTCCGTCTGTCAGTGTGTCACTCAGAGAAGTAAGATGGAGTTGTGGCGGCAGTGTGCAATGTGGCTGATCGACTGCCGAGTCCTTCCAGAGAACCACCGGGTCACATGGGAGGGTGCACAGGTAGATCATCTGTGTCACACATTCTCACATGAACACACTTCCTGTCTGGGCTCCTGAATTTGATTTAATTGAATGCATGTGTTTGTGTGCGCTGTGTCAGGTGTGTGACCTGGCTCAGGCTCTTAGAGATGGCGTGCTGCTCTGTCAGTTGCTTAACAACCTGCTGCCACAAGCTGTCAATCTGAGGGAGATCAACCTGCGCCCACAGATGTCCCAGGTAATACACACACACACATACACACATACACACACACACTTTTCCTGCTCAATTTCCATAGGATATTTCCATAGCGACAAGCACCAGTACTGACACTCCTCCAGCAGTAAGATAGGAAAATACTGTCCATATCCCGGATCATATGTCGAGAGTGGAGGGGAAAGGAAAAATACAGCAAATCAAATATAATATCAAGTAAATTTCATGATTGTTTAACCTTATCTATCATATTGATGACAATGATAAGAACTGGCTCAGTTTAGTGGCGGAGCCCGACTGATTTGTGAGTTGGCTGAAGCCTCGGGAACGACTGAAATCTTTACTCTCTAATATGAGTTTTTGCATCGGATCCCAAACACCCAGTATCGGTCAGGCTCTGTTTTGTAGGAGTTGCGACACTAGTTGGAAACAGGACAGAGTCAACACTAGAATCTTGATCATGAAAAGTGTTTCCACGAGACACAAGCCGAAATGATCTCACTGCCGGAGCAGGTATTTTCTCCTTTTGCCCGTTTAGCTCTCAACAGTGTACAAAAAGTGATATGATGGAGCTTTTAGCATTGTTGTAAAGTGATGTACCAGATTTATTCAATTAACATAAATAGTGCATGGATTCTCAACGCCTAGTACCCTGCATTTTCTGTGGCATCAGAAGGATTCCTGATGCTGGTATCAGTATCGGAACATCTCTAATAGTTTTTTTGGGACATGAGCTTAAAAGCTTTCTTGCGAAAAAAGAGATGGGAAGATCAGTATCTTACTCATGTCTGCTTAGGAAATACGGAGCCGCTGCCAGCAGCCGGTTAGCTCGTGTTATATCACGGGCTGTAGTTTCACCAGGTTTCATCAAGTATATTCTTAAACTACTGAGATAAAAATTCTACCAAAATACACTGGAAAAGTGGAGAGAAAAGAATAACCCCTCGTATCTGAGTGGACAGAGAGAAAGGAGAGGTCAGCAAAATATGAGGCAAAGACCTGGTTAAATAAAGTATTAAAAAAAGGAAGAGGTGTCACGTGGCCCAAACTTCTCAAGGGAAGTCTTTGAATCGTGTCCGCCTGGACTTACCACGATGTCTCAAACGTGTGAGAGCAGGAGCTAATGTGTCTTGTGCAATGGGAAACTCTGGGATATCCTCAAGGGTGGTTAAGAAACATCCGGTGATTAACAGAATACAGGAGTCCACTACTTTGACGCCCGCACACACACACACACACAGGATCTTCCCTGTTCTCTTGCAATAAGTTTTACTACACTCTGAGTTACAGTTGCTCAGATGTATCGTGCAGACTCCTGACAGAGTGATGTAATGTGTGCAGCACTGCCAGTCAACATTTCCCCTTTTTCTCAAATGAAGAGTTCCTCATTTCCTGCTGCCGAGCAGAGAGAGAGAGAGTCAGAGCACAGTGCCTCTGTTTGGTTTCTACATGTCAGCTTCAAAATAATTCGGCCTTTATTTTAGCATCAGTTGTTTCTGTGTATCAGCACGTTGACATTAACTTTCATGTGGTCTCCTATAGGCATTTAGATGGAGGGTTTTTTTATTGCAGATGCTTGTGGTTCTGTGTATTAGAGCCCTGCAGGGTTTTTTCTAACAAATTCAAATTTGGACGAACAGCAGAACCAAGATGATGTTTAATAATACGTCCATTTTACTGTCTTTTACTGTCTGCTGTTTAAAAACTCTGACATATATATATATATATATACATATATATATATATATACAGAATGGATGATAGTGATTAGAGCCTGATCAATTTTTAGGATACAATCTCAGGAAGTTAAAAATTCAAATAAACCCAAAACTTTAATATAAATAGCTGTAAAAAGAAACACGCAATGCAAACAAATATATAGAACTTAAATTAAATCATCAATAATTTTCAGCACTTAAGTAAATAAGTTGTTTGTTTGTGTTTAGTTTCTTTGCCTCAAGAATATCCGGACGTTCCTGGGAGTCTGTCAACAGATGTTTCATCTCAAGAAGAATGAACTGTTTGAGGCCTTCGACCTGTTTGATGTCCGAGACTTTGCAAAGGTATCTGTCTGTCTGTCTGTCTGTCTGTCTGTCTGTCCTTCTGTCTGTCTGTCTCTCTGTCTGTCCTTCTGTCTGACTTGACTGAGCAGCATCTGTTTATGTAATGCAGTCTGACCACAGTCTGAACATGGTGCACTCTTATGTCAGTCTTTATGGTAAAAGTCAGGAGCGCTGCAGCTTGCAGACGCCTACACGGCCCTGACAGGAAGTCACAGGGTGATTTTCTAATTGAAGCGGCTCAGCGAACACATTCATTCTCATTATCACAACTTTCTTTCACTTTGGGAGCCGTGTGGCCACAGCAGCACTTTCGTGTGAAATGTGGCCTCAGTTGATTCGTATGCACAAGCAAAGAGGAAGCAAAGGTGGAACTCTGACTGCGGGGGGCTTTAGGTTTTAAAAAAATTGAGTTGACAGTGTGTAACTGTAAGTTCCTGTCACTGAGCCTCTCGTTTCACTTTACGTCTTCCAGTCAGTAAAATACAATAAACTCTGTAATTGGATTTGCAGTGGTGTAAACAATATACAGATCTTTACATATTTAAGTTGAATTAATAATAATACACCGAAAGCCTTGTATTGCAAGTAAAAGTCCTGAAATAAAAATCTTACTTAAGAAGAAGAAGTATATAACTAAAAAAGTGAAAGAAGTCGTTCATGAAGTGTGTCCTTTGACTGATCAAGTAATAAATGTCATTGTTCGATAATTGTGGAAACTGTTGGGTTCCTGTAAAAACTTTGTCTCGTAAATTGGACTGAACAGAATATTTTTTATTACAATTGATTCTTCAGTTTGAAAACCTCATTTAGATAAGTGCTACACAAATAAAGTTATTGTTATTGTTATTAGTAGTAGTAGCAGTAGTATCAGCATATAAACAGGTTTTGTGTTGAATGTGGGGTCAGGTTCTTCCAAAGAGAGTCACATAGTAAACCTAACGGACTGTGTGTTGATCAATATAAGTGAAAAGAGAAAGAAACTAGAGCTGGAGCGATAACAATGTTAGAGAATAAAAAACTATGACTACTGAAGCTGTCTCTTGACAGTCAGACTGTAAATCTTTTATTTCCCTCTCACCTTCTCCTACAGACTTTCACTTCTTGTTACATCTTTCCTTCTCAGTCTTGGATCGAAATAGAAAATGAATAGTTCAGCAGATCTGACAGAGAAGTAAAGTCTTTACTTGGACAGTATATTTACTTTATAACACCCACCTTGTAGTTATTTGTCTCTCTGAAAGAAAAGAACCATAGTTCAGGACTGTGGGACGAAAACAAGCTTTCTTGAAAACACAGTTCTTAGGTGATGAAATAAAACCTTAAAATAAACGGTCTTCAGTTTCACCGACGCACATTATTTAATCACAAAGAAGGATGAGCGACATCTTTGGTTAAATCTCTAATAAAAGTGGTTTTGTGAAATTCCTAATCATCATCATGACACTGCAGTTCTCATAAAGGTGGTCAAACCGAGTAAGAGTGAAACCAGGTGTGAAGCCAAAAATCTTTTGTGCGTCTGTGTCTCACTCCGTACTGGTTATCATAACCACTCTTAATGTGTCTGTGTCACAGGTCATAGACACTCTGTCTATCCTGTCTCATTCCTCCATTGCGATTCAAAGAAGACTCCAGTGAGTAGTTTTCTTCCTCTGTTGCATAATGACGGATTCATGCAGTTTCTGGGCGAAGCCTCCTTTGCTTATTTCCCTCAAACACACTTTCCTTCCTCAAGGCCTTTTCCTTCGGAAGAATGTGCCACTGATGACGAGATCTACAGCGGCTTGTCGGACCAGATAGAGTGAGTTTACTTTTTTTTTTCGACAAAAAACAAAAAGAGGGGTGGTTCCTGAAAATGTACAAATAATAGGATGATAGGATTTACAAATAAAAGTTGTAATAATGTGTGTGTCACAGTGACACGGTGGACGAAGATGACGACTTGTACGACTGTGTAGAGGATGAAGAGAACGAAGGGGACGAGATCTATGAGGATTTGATGAGGACGGACGAACAGCCTGAAACTGTGAGTGTTCCAAACCTTGAAATGATAAATAACACAACAAGAGTTGTTGCTGCAGCATTTTATCGCATCCTTCTTTCATCAATAAGAGAAATGCAATAATCAAAAGTCAGCGCTGGAAGAGTGAGAGAAACTAAAATTGTTCTGAAAGGGCCGGCATCTATGTTGAGCTGCAAGATACAAGTTTCAAAAAATACAAATTGTGTCTGCAATGGTTGAAACAGATACATATCATATTTTTTGCGTGTTTGTGCAGCAGCAGAAAGCAGTCGTAGACAAACGAGAGTGCTGCCTGCAGGAGATCCGACAGACAGAAGAGAAATACTCGGACACACTGGAGTCGATATTACAGGTGCGTACCCGCCTTCAGTCTGCGATCCACTGTGAATGGACATTGAAGACATGAATAACAAACACGCCTTCTCTTTTGAGCAGCACTTTATGAAACCTCTTGAGAGGTTTCTCAAGGATCAAGACATTGAAAGCATCTTTATCAACATAGAGGTACAGGAGATGACCCACATGCCAGCTCACGTGTGTGCAGGTTGAACTCCATGTATTAGCTTTGTTGACGTGTTTTGTTTGTGTGTGTGTGTGTGTGTGTGTGTGTGTGTGTGTGTGTGTGTGTGTGTGAAGGATTTGGCCGACACTCATCGTAAATTGTTGGAAGAGGTCCGGAGCTCCATCCTAAAATATGGAGCAAAGAATCTTTACCAGGTGTTTCTGAGCTACAAGGAGAGGTACACAACAAACACGTGCACATTTTTTCTGCTATTTTTAAATTGGAGCTTTAAATAATGGAAGAGAAACGTGTAGATTATAATGTGTTCTATATGTTTTTATATTCTGAACCCCCTCAGGCTCTTACTGTATGGTCACTACTGTAGTCAGGTGGAAACAGCGACTAAGCACCTCGACAGTCTATCGAATGCAAGGGAAGACATCAGGATGAAACTGGAGGTGACCCACACACACACACACACACACACACACACACACACACTGATTCAATCATTTTCTGATTTCTTTGTGTTACTAATTATGAGATTTCATTGATGGCGAACAGATTCCTACTCTTTAGATTCGACTGGTTTGCTCCAGAAGTTCACTTTCTTCTTCTTGTCTTCTTCTCTCTTCTCTTAGGAATGTTCGAAGAGAGCCAACAGTGGACGCTTTTCTCTCCGAGATTTACTCATGGTCCCGATACAGAGGGTCCTCAAATATCACCTCCTGTTACAGGTGTGTGTGTGTGTGTGCGCGTTTACAAGACATCTAGTTAGTTTGTTAGATGGACGACATGACCAAAACCGAAAAGTCAAAGCACACGTCAAATACATTTTTCTCAAAGACGGTTTCTGTCGGTTTCAGTTTTAATAATTTATTTGATGATGTAGAAAAGGATGGAACACCACGATTGGCAGCTGAGACTAGTTCATGATTAGTCGAGTGCATGTGTTAGTGAAACCTTGTTACCGCAGCTCCATCCCCTGATCACTGCTGAGCAGACTCTGGTGCCAAATGCACAAGATGGCAGCGTTTGTATCCGGGGTGATCTGGCTTCATTTCTGGAGGAAGTGGAGACATGTTGTGCATCTTTATTCACAGTCTATGGTTTGACCTGGTAGCTATAATTTGATGTGGTATATCTGTGTTTTGCAGGAGCTGGTGAAACACACCACTGACCCAGCAGACAAGGAAAACCTACGCACAGCTCTAGACGCCATGAGAGTATGTGTGTGTTTGTGTTTTATTTCAATTACTGATTTAAATTCATGATATTTATACAATTGTCTCTCTCTCTCTCTCTCTCTCTCTGTGTGTGTGTGTGTGTGTGTGTGTGTGTGTGTGT